CAATTTTTGATGTCATAGTTTAACTTCATTCTCTTTGGCTAAAACACATGTTGAGGAGAAGTTCAACTCTTGAGGAACCTGTAGATAACAATTGTCTTTAGCTCTGATTCCTTTCATAATAACTTCATTCTTTTCATTACACACAAGACATTCTTCCTTGGTGAAGTTAACTTTGAATCCTTGATCACACAATTGGCTTATACTTATCAGGTTAGCTGTTAAACCTTTGACAAGTAACACATCATCAAGCTTAGAGACTCCTGAACAATCAAGCTTGCCAACACCTTTGATTCACCTTTTGCTCTATCACCAAAAGTCACATAACTGGTGGAATGAGATTTGACATCCACCAACAGATTCTTGACACCTGTCATGTGTCTATAACACCCACTTTTAAAGTACCAGTCATCTTTGATTGATACTTTGAGGGAGGTGTGAGCTATAAAACTAGCAACATTAGACTTAGGAATCCACTATTTCTTCTTTTTGCTATTTTGGGGATTTTGATCAGTTTTGGGAAGAGGAGTAGTCTTAGGGTACCCATACAACTTAAAACAGAAGGGCCTTATATGACCAAGCCTTCCACAATGATGACATCTCCTGGGCTGGGAATTCTCTCTAATTTGATTAAACATTTTCTTGCCATGATGTCCTTTCTTGCCATGATGTTTAGGAATTTGATTCGGCATCCTTGGTTTAGACTTGGTATGAGTGGAATCTAATGAAGGTTCTTCTGAATCAGGTTCCTTTTTCTCATTAAACCCTAGACCACTCTTGTCTCCTGTCACTCTCCCCACTTGAAGAATTTCATTTAATGTGTCTGATCTATTATTCAGCATCTTGAGAGATTTGACCATTCTATCAAGATTTAAATTCAGAGAAGTCACTTCACTTTCCAGATTAGAAATATTTTTTAGATGCTCTTCCCTTTCTGCCTTCAGCTGAGTTATAAGGGCTTCCTGTTTCTCCCCTTTAAGACACACTTATGCACTTCTGAGACATAATTCTTTATATGAAGCGGCTAACTCGTCAAAGGTTAGTTCCTCGTCACTAGACTCTTCATCAGATACATATTTTCCTATCAATGCTTTAACATACTTGGCAGATTCTTCAAGATCACTCTCTGGTTCCTCTTCAGACTAAGTAACAGACAGGTTCTTCTTTTGTTTCTAAAGATATATAGGACATTCAGCTCTAATGTGACCAAAGCCTTCACATTCATGACATTGTAGTCCCTTCCCTTGAGTGGATTTTTCTTCAGCCCTTTTTCTTCCAAACTCATTTGACTTATGGATGTCAGATGAGATGTTCTTGACATTTGATCTTTGGTTCCTATCCATTCTTTTTATCACATTGATAAACTATCTTCCAAGCATAGCTAGGGCATTTGATATTCCTCCATCTGTATCCAGATCACAGTCTTCCTCTTCATCTTCAGTATTTGATACAAAAGTTATTCTTTTGTTCTTCTTTTCATATCTTTCATTGATGCTTAATTCAAATGTCAGAAGGGATCCAACAAGTTCATCCACTTTTATTTTGTCAATGTCTTGAGCTTCTTCTATAGCAGTAACTTTCATATCAAATCTCTTGGGAAGAGATCTGAGCATCTCTCTCACCAATTTGTCTTCAGGTATTTTCTCTCCTAAAGAACTGGATGCATTAGCAATTTCAAGAATGTTCATATGGAAGTCATTAATACTTTCATCATCCTTCATTCTCAAATTCTTAAATTTATTGGTGAGCAACTGAAGTCTTGACATCTTAACTTTGGACGTTCCTTCATGAGTAGATTGAAGAATTCCCCATGCATCCTTAGCTACTTCACATGTGTTCACTAATCTGAAAATGTTCTTGTCAATTCCATTGAATATAACATTCAAGGCTTTAGAATTTACAAGAGCAATTTCATCTTCTTCTTTAGACCAATCTTCTTCTGGTTTTAACTCAGGGGTGGCTTCTCCATTTTCTCCCAATTTGACAGGGTGTTTCCATCGTTTTAAAACAGCTTTCCAAGCTCTATTGTCCAAAGACTTTAAGAAGGCAACCATATGTGGTTTCCAATAGTCATAATTACTTCCATCCAAAATGGGTGGTCTGTTCACAAATCCTCATTCCTTGTCCATAGTACCAGAAAGTATCTTCCTTGGATCTCACCCAGATAAAGAGCAGGATGCCTGCTCTGATATCAATTGAAATACTAGTATCAGATATGTGATATCGAAGGAGATGTCACGACACAAATATCTGAGGAACAAAGTAAAGTGCAACAATAATAAAAGTAGTAAAAACACAAGGGCTTGTTAACCCAGTTCAGTGTACAACAACACCTACTCTGGGGGCTACCAAGCTAGGGACAAGTCCACTAAATAGTATCAATTCATAGACCCTCAATAAACAACCAGTTTATGATCTAATCACTTAATCACTACCCGTGCTATACTTCTACCTAAGACTCACCTAGGCATGAGGCCCTCCTCAAATCCCTTCAATCACTTACAGTGAAGAAACAACAGAAATAATAAGTTTAAAAGACTTCAATCATTCAATGCTTAAAATCTTATGAATGACACGCAATAACAACCCAAATAACAACACAAGTATTAAATCAATACTAGAGTGTTTGACAATTAAAAGACTTAGACTTCTAAAACAGAAAGAAAGTATTCTTCTTCAAAATTTGCCATTTTCTGAATAAGGAAGCAGGTCATTATATATGCGCAGCAGTGGGCTTAGGCTGAAAAAGAAATATTCAAATATTTTGAATATTTCCATGAAAGAATGCCAAGATATAATCCATAAAGATAATTCAAATAGAAAAATATTCTTCCATATTTTCCGTAACATATGAGTCACAAATCCTGAATTATGGCGCGCAGGAAATCAGGAAACAAAAAACATGAGCTGATATTGGGCTGAGTTCAGTTCAGGAGGCAGATGTCAAGACATCTTATTTGACATCATTCAAAACAATTTGCTTCAAATGTTAAGACATTTATAGAAACATTATCAAGTCATTGTTTTTCCAAAATTACTGCCAACAAACACTTACATAAACCACTAATATAACAACGGTGTGCAACAAATAATCATCCCTCCCTGATAAAAATTCCGAAGATGGATGGAATAATAAGTATCTCCTATCAATGTAGGGACTGGATTCCAAATCAGAAAGATCCTAATGGCATTAACATCCACAAATTTGTCGATGTTAGGAAACAAGAACAAACCATAGGCAAGCAAAGCTAGGATAGCCTCTAAAGCAGTTGTACTCTTCATTTTGGCGAAATAACGAGCTTTCTCCAATAAAAATTGAGCAGGTAAACCCCTGATTCCCCCCTTGGTAGTCATGTTAGCCTCAATCTCATACTTCTTCAAATGAGTCATGGTGGAAACCTCATGAGACATGGGCTCTCCTTCTAAGTCGGTGAAAGGAACACAATCAGTAATAGGTAAACCAAGTAAGTAAGAATACTCCTGCAATATGGGCATCAACTGATAATCAGGGAAAGTAAAACACCGGAACAACAGATCATAGAACTAGACCAATGTAGAAAGAATACCCTCCTTCATCTTGAGCTTTATAAGAAGCATGACAAATCCATACTTCTTCCAGAAATCTGTAGAGCTCTCAATCTCAGGAATCAAACTCATCAGTTCCTCTATCTTAGGATCCTTGAAATTGTACTTATGAGTCTTTCTTCTTCCAAAATACATGGTCAAAAAGTACCTGAGATATTTGCAAAAGTCAACCCTTAAGTTTCTTGAAGCAACTGTTTTTAAATAATGCTCATGGGTGCATGAATATATGATGCATCAATCACACACATGATCACAAACATGGGGGTTCATAGGTTCGATGTCACGAGCATGAAGCCAATGGTACTACCCACAAGGTATAGATTAATAATTTATCACCTATCGAACAAGGTTCTAAAAGGTTCCTAGAGTCTACATCCTTCCATTGGATATTGCCAACGTCCTGGTTAACCCTGTAATCAACAATATTCTTAGGAAATACTTGTCTGAGTGTAGCATCGTGTGACAACCACTCCGGATTGCTCCGTCATAGTTTATGCATTACACCTAAAAGGCCGAGGGGATGTCGCTTGGACATGGTCGTGTCGGTCATGATAGTTTTACCGAGCTCCATGGTGGATGCCAAACGTACACTTATTGATAATTCTACCAGTGCTAAGCCAGTCAAAGTCACAATTGTTTATCTGAGTATGAATCATATGAATAGCCAGTCCCTTAAGCTTGGTAATCACTAGTTTATATAAGGTCTCCCCCGCTCTGAGTCTTTTATGACTGATTTATTTCTCATTATGATACATGGCTCCTTGCGTAACTGGAAGCAATAAAAGAAATCAAGTCTCGTATCTATTTCTATGAGTTCGACCATTTAAAGTTATTTAATGGCTCAAATACTCATAAATATATTGTATTTAACCTTGGTCCAACAAGCTCGACATACCCATTACAAGTGATCTGATATGTCCCTTCCCCTTTAATGAATTAGGTTGGGACAAATTATGCTTTGTTCGAGTTTGGATCCAACCTAAATGCTTTAGGTGAAAGACTAAAATGTAAAAGTTTAATTATATACCTATAAAATAGTTTTTGTCTATAATTTCTTTTAATTACAAAAACTTTAGTGAACTGGACTCAATAGTTCGCCAACACATGACGAATCATGATACTTTACATATCATCTATTAAAAATATTTTATGTTGAGAATTAAATTCACGACCTCTTATGTCGGTCAACTTCATATCCTCTATGTCAACTTTTCTTTTTGTCTCTTAAATTTGGAAGTAATCGTATTTTTTGGGATGTAATTAGAAAATTAAAATTAATTTTTCAATCCAAAATTTATAATTTTAAATATAATTTTTGAAAAGATTATTTTTAGATAATTTAATTACTTAACAAGTTTTTTTTTATTTTTTATGAAACAAGTTAATATAAGCCTAATGTAGTAGATAAAAGAAGAGAGATGCCAGTGCCATTCCTACATTTCCGTACACTCTACCACCGCATCAGCCACTCTCACACTCCCCTCCTCATTCGCAACCTCATGGCCGCCGCCGTACCCATAACCCCATCAAACACCCGCCTTGGATGGATCGGTACCGGCGTAATGGGCCAATCCATGTGCGCCCATCTCATCCGAGCCGGCTACACCCTCACCGTCTTCAACCGTACCCCATCCAAAGCCCAACCACTCCTCGACATCGGAGCCAACCTCGCCGCCTCCCCCCACGACGTCGCGTCCCAATCCGACGTCGTTTTCACCATCGTTGGCTACCCCTCCGACGTCCGCTCCGTCCTCCTCGACGCTAACTCGGGAGCCCTCGCCGGCCTCAAACCCGGAGGAATCCTTATCGACATGACCACCTCAGATCCCAGCCTTGCCGTCGAAATCGCCGCCGCTGCATCTTCCAAAAACTGCCACTCAATAGACGCCCCAGTCTCCGGTGGAGACCGCGGCGCAAAGAACGGAACCCTAGCTATCTTCGCCGGTGGAGATGAGTCAATAGTCAAAAAGCTCGAACCTTTGTTTACACAATTAGGAAAAGTGAACTACATGGGTAGTAGTGGTAAAGGCCAATACGCGAAGCTAGCAAATCAGATAACAATAGCTTCAACGATGGTAGGGTTGATTGAAGGGATGGTTTATGCTCACAAAGCCGGACTCGATGTAGGTTTGTACCTCGACGCGATTTCGACCGGTGCAGCCGGGACGAAGTCGCTTGATTTATACGGGAAGAGAATCCTGAAGAGGGATTTTGCAGCAGGGTTTTATGTGAACCATTTTGTGAAGGATTTGGGGATTTGTTTGAAGGAGTGTGAGATATTGGGTATTGCTTTGCCTGGTTTGGCACTTGCTCAACAGCTTTACGTCTCGCTTAAGGCTCATGGTGAAGGTGATTTGGGTACTCAGGCTCTTATTTTGGTTCTTGAGAGACTCAACAATGTTTCTCTACCAGTTCCGGTTTGAAATCAAAGAGACATTGTCACGGTTGTGTAATAAGAAATTTGCTGTCTGTTTTTCTTTTGTCTGTTCAATTTGAGTTCTGGTTCATGCTGTTGTGCTATGGTGGACTTGTTCATTTTGAATGTTTCAATGAAAGGGGTTTTAAATGTTGTATCCCACGTTATATATACTTAAGAAAGTATACACAAATGATGTTTTTACTATTGAGATTTTCTCCTTAGTTATGTTATGCATGACTAAAACTTCTACAATTCGTGTATGATTAGTGGATTCAGGCTCTGATATTATAGTTTTGATATACTAAGGAACATCTTAATTGCTACAGCAAGAAAATGGTGCATTGAGGAATTCTCTTTTCCAAGCACTTTGTTTTGTCCACAAAGTTTTCCATTAATTCTCTTTTCCAAGTACTTTGTTTGTCCCCATAAGTTTCCAAGAATTCTTTTTCAAGTACTTTGTTTAGTTTTCCAATCATTATTGGATGCAAGAGTACAAACAAACATGGTGTTGGTATTCATCCCTTCTTGGCAAATGGTCTGGCAGAAGTAGCTCATCAAGCACATCTCAAAGAGGCTTTGCTGGCTAGAAATAATGGTACGAGTGGTGCTTATTGATAATTTTGTAGGGTGTTTAGACTAGGATAAGTTTATACTTTATGCACCTTAAGTAGTGCATTTTCATCCTAGTGAAAAACCAAAACTATCTATTAGATATGAAAATGCATCATCGGACACACATCCTTTACACACAAGTCATTCGTTTTTATGCCACACTCTTATTCTTTGACAAAATTTAATCCAAAAATACATATATGTGTACCTTACGGAAGTGTATTTATGGATTTTAAACAAATGTAGAACCGAAACAGATGCAAAAATGGAGATAAATTAATATCGATAACTATTATGACATAAAAAAACTAAACAGTACATAAATAATTATTAACATAAATCGAACAATGCATTTCATTGTTAAGTATGACGTTTCAACATTTTTCAAATATCTTCGGTGGATCTAGTAATTTTTCCATCCAGCTCGATCGAACATTTTGTTTTGTAGCGGTGAAATGTATTCAACATAACCATTAAATCTTCATTCATCTTCAACTCAAATTTATTGAACTGAATGTTTCCTTCGTTGTCAATTGAAGGTGAACGATACTCAAGTTTGAAAATTTTCCGATTATCTTAGTATTTTAGGAGATTCTCCAATATGAATTTCAAATCCACAAGAGGGGTGTACTTAGTGACCTTAAATTCAAGTGAAATGTTCGTGTCATTGAAGTAGACGAAAGCGACATGCCAATATATGTTCATTCTGGCGTGATGTGATTTTTATTAAAAATATGAGATGAGACCCTTATTTATACAAGATTTAGGTCAGTATGGACCTTACAAGTTCAATTATGTCCTGGGGAATATTCTGAGATGTACTTCTGGATACACCTTATTTCGTTAAGTGAAATTCATAAAATTATGGTGCATCTAGAAATGCATTTTCGAATAAATCCTTCTTAGCATTTTTTTAAAACATTTATGGTGAACCCAAAAATACATTTTCGAATGCACCCAACGTTGTTCACACATAACCAAACAAAGCATGTTTTATAATAGAAAATGAAGAAATATTTTGGAAAATGTATATATTTGACATCATTAATATTAAAAGACAAAATTACATACAAAAAATATGTCTAACCACATAAATACATTGTTGAATAAAAACTAAAATAAATAGAAACATGTGTCACCGTCTAAATCTATATGTATGGGTGGTTGTGCCTTTGACTTTTGTTTTTTTGTTTTTCTTTCAATCTCGCTCAATTTGGTGAACTTTTGCATCCTATCTGTGATCGGTGGATCTGGAACTGACTGTTTAACGCTGGTTTCGCGAAATGTCGCGGTAAGCAAGAGTCGCCACCGTCTTTTATTTTCTCCAAATGGAAAGGACAAAAGCACAGAAAAATTCCTTAAAGAGATTGCTCTCGGTTCGGGAGGTAGGTTATAGAAAGGGAAGGTGTTAGCACCCTTTCTATCCATGGTTATCCATGGGCTCTTAGATACTTGCTCATTGTGTTTCCAAAAATGGTTTGTTTGCTTTTCAACTGTGGGTTTAAAAAAGGTTTCGTTTAAAATTTCAGTTCGACTCTTGTATCAGTCCTCAAGAGTGTTTGAAAAATTACTTTCGAAAGCTTTTTGAAAATGTGTTGGTGTGAAAAGTATCTTTGATTTGTTTTGAAATTTAGAGCAAGTATCCACGAGTCGTCTACCTACCCTAAGGAATTCGTCTGTGTAAATGTCCTTTAAAGTAGTGCCATCCCACCATTGAGAGGTAGGTAGCACCACCGTTGGAGGTGTTCGGGTCAATTCGAGGTTCGGGACATGGTGATCACCAGAGCAATGGGAAGACACCTTAGAAGCTACCCTCATGCCAGGTTCCCGGATCATGAGGACTTACTAAGACATCCTCTACTCGACGATCACCTTTCGAGGCAAGGCAACAGTGAGGCGTACCCTAGGGGTGGTGTGTGAATTTGTGTGTCGTTTTCAGATATTTTGGCCTTGTCATGTTATGGGTGTTCTACGCTTATTTTTATTTTGTCCATACATTCTTTCATGCTTTTTGTTAACAGTTAAAATACTTGCGGGAAAGTAAAAAAATCTAAGCTATTACAAAAGGCGCGGGTCCACATCGCCAAAAGTTTCTCGAACCCGATTTGACAGAAAATAAATAAAGTAAATAAAAGTGCGAGAAGTAATTAAAATGTTACAAGGCCTTGGGAGAGATACATGAATTATTTAAGCGGAAAAGAAATAAGTATGCGAATTAATAAGGAATTAAGAACGAGGGCGTTGGACCCTTTTTGCAAAATATTAAAAATTACATGAATTAATTAATTAAAAAAAAAAAAAGGAAATTGTTTTTGTTTTTGGTATTTTTTGGTATTTTAGGATTTAATATGAAAAAGAGAATTAATTAAAATTAAAATAAGATGCAAACCCTAATCCTAATTATTTTTAATTTATTAAGAAAATATTGAAGTTTTTTAACCTAAAATTAATCCTAATTTTTATATGCAAATTTAATTATAAAAAATAAATAAAATAAATAATATTATTATAAAAAGAAAAATTAAAAAGGAATAAAAACATTAATTAAACCTAATTCTATGTTTTTTATATTTTTTATTAAAAGAATTAAAATTGCAAACCTAATTTAAAACTACATTCAATTACATGCAAATTTATTTAAGAAAATACTAAAATTATTTATTGTATTTTTAATCTTTTCTGATTTTTATATGTATTTTTTATATTTATGAAAATAATAATTAATTTAAACAAATAATAATAGAATTATACAAAAAAATATATAAAGAAAGTGAAAAATATGCAAACCTAGGGGGTGGTAGTCCCCAACATGGAGGTTCAAGTTCAGTAATCTGGCCCATTAAACTTGGCCTTTTTGGACTTTTGCCAGGTAGCATGTTGAAGCATTGACTTGGATCTACCATGTTCCTCAATTCTGAGCCTTGTGATGGATGAAGCTGAACGCGTGGCATGCTGGATTTGGAAGTGTATGGTACGTCCTCAGTCTTGAAGCGCATGTGAACTTTCATTGAAAAATAATATTGGGATATTGAAGACCTGGGGCTCGAACCCAGGTCATGAGGATTAACAACAACAACGCTTGCCAGCTGAGCTAATCTGTACATGTTAATATATAATAACAAACAAATAATATAAAAGAAATAAAAGCGTTAGTGGGTCTTTGCGCGCGAATTTCAAAAGGGCCAACCAATGCACGCCACGAATTCATCTTCTTCGTTGTATTATTTTCCTGAAAAAACAAATATGTTAGGCAACGGTTTTGCACGCGTTCTCCTAGGCCGGTTTTGGAAAAATAACGATTAGGTCTAGGGGGTCCATAAATTAGGCGCGATAGGGGCTTCTTCTTCGTCCAGACGTGCTCATGCCAATGGTGGTACTCAGGGGTTCTAATTTTTCCTCATTCAAAAACCCCCAATTTCAAATCCTGTAAACCCTAGAAAGTAATCATGGCATAATCGTGTACACAACATAAAAATATAATTAAAGCATATGGTTAGCTTGCAAATACTTCACTGATCACGAACATATGAACAAAACATCATGAAAGTGCATAGAATGCAAAACACGATAATGAAAAAAAAGTGAGAAAGGTTAGCTTCTGTACAACGATTCTTGAGGTTTTGATGAGCGTTTATGATTGGGACACGTTCAATGGACCTTCAGCAAGCCAATGGAACAAAAATTATGTCTTGAATCAACCTGCAAGTTAGTTTTCAGAATTGAGTTTTTTGAGAAAAATTTCAAGTTTGATTTTCAGGTTTTTGAGCAGCTGCGTGTGTTTTGCATTAGGGTTTCATTCTAGCTTATGTAGTGAGTCCATTGGGTCAAGAAAAATAGAACAAATCCATTGCATTCATTGATTTTGAAAATTTGATTTTCAATATCTTTTTTTCAATCTTTTCCATGTGTTTTTTGTTCTCAATCATACCAATCAATCCAAATCTTTCCATGTTGGGATATGCACGAATTATTGATGATATAATGTGCACAAAAAGATTGAAAAAATTAGGTTAGGCATTTTTCATATATTTAATTTGATTTAAATGAATTATTATAAATAAAAATTCAAATAAATAAATAAAAAATGAATAACAACTTCCCTTTGGGCCAAGGGGTCGTGCACATGCCATGGATGATGATTTGTGGAAGAAAAATGGGCCCATTAGCAATTTTAGGTCATTTGAATCAATGTTGACTTTTCAAAATATCCAAAAATTTCCCAACTTCTACAAGGCATAACTTGCTCAATTTTTAAGCTTTGCTCATGTTCTTAGACATTTTGGAAAGGTCTTTGAGTCCTCTAACCAATGCATTTGGTCCCATGTCATTTTGATTTACCAATCTCAAGTTATGGCCTTTGACTTAAAGTCCCTTTTTGTTGACTTTTGAAAA